ATCCACAGGCCATGAATCCATAATAAATCCTATCTTTTTAGTTTATTTCCTTGTTCCAAATATTTTCATTGTTTATATTAATGAATTATTAGGTTTTTATAGTTTACTTTACTTCTTTAGTTAAAGTATACATTTGATCCTTTAATTTTGTATAAGGTTTTAATTTGGTCCATTAACTTTAAAAAGCATACATTTGGTCCTTTAACCCTAAAGTTATTAGCCTTAAATAATAATTTTTTGTAACAATCATGGATTTTTTGAAAATTAAACTTAATATATTAACATTTAAGAATGTTTTATCAACATTTAAGATTTTAATGTCATCATTTTTTAAAAAAAAATTAGGATTAAAGAACTAAAAGTATACTTTTTAAAGTTAAGGGACCAAATTAAAACTTTATACAAAGTTAAAGGACCAAATGTAAATTTTAGTCTAGTTCTTTTTCAATGGGGCCTTTATTTTTTAATCAGGTAATTTTAATTTATAGAGTTTATGAAACTTCAATTATAAAAAGGGGAAATTTCACTATAGGACCGCAGAAGACAAATAATTTCAAAGAGCCCCCAAAACATTCTGAAATCTCACTGCAGGACCAAGGGGCCAATATGATATTAATTCCACAAGCGAAATGACGCCACTGCCCCTCATTTTACTTCCGCTGAAATTTGAAAATAAGGCGAAAAAGCGACGGTCAAAAGTCCTCCCGCTCTCTCTCTATATGCGAACGTAACCCGTGTGCGAAAAGTGTTCCCTCTCCCGCTCTGCGAACGTGCAACCACTCTGGGAAAACTGCTGCGTCTCTCGGTCTGCGAACGTGCTACCACTCTACGAAAAATCTGCCCTCTCTCGACTGCGAACGTGCTACCTCTGTGGGAAGATTCCTGCCTCTCGCAATCTGCGAAAAGTGTTCGACGTGGCCCCCAAAAATTCCATCAGCTTCAATCTGCGGGTTCGTGGTAATCACTAGAAGCGGAAGGAGAATAAGAAGAGGCCGACAAAGGAGGAAACTTGCAAGGCTATCGACAAAGAAGGAAGAAGCAGGGCGAGAAGAAGTCACTGATTTCCATTTGGTAAGCTTCGCGGTCCCCGTTAAATGCAGTAGATTTCTTGGATTTTGTTTTCATGGTAGGTTAAGGAGGAATGACCCACTGAAAGGTGGGTGTGTTTGGTAATGACATTTAGGTTCTAACCCAGGAATGATTACCAATGTGTCACATAGTGTTCGGCCATTTCCCTGACTGCCCTTTAGCAAATGCTCCTGATTTAGTGAGCGAACGCTTGTGAGTGTAGCATGAAGAGTTTGTGTGGGGGCTAAGTAAGAAAGTTATTAATTATTTAGGGAAAAATTAGTGTTGGTAGTTAACTGCATTGCTATAGTGTTTGTAGGCATTTTGCAGGAATAAGGAAAAGAATTGGGAGGGGCAAATGTTGTCGTATGGATTAGGCAAATGAGTTTGTTTTGTTTGGTTTATCCCGTTGATTGTTGGAATGTGAGATTTTGTGGGCTAACAATGAGAGTTAGTCAATTGACGTGAAGAATTAGTTGACTAACTAGTTGCATGTGACAACCTCATGTTTGTTGGAATCTGATTTGTAGTGGCCTCACAAGGAAAACTAGGAAATTGACACGAGGAATTAGGGGTTTATCCAGTTAGCTTATGTCAAACAGTTTTCATGTTTCCGGGAATCTGTCAAGTTAGGAAATTTACATGGAGAATCAGTAAATTACCCACAAAGTTTGTGGGAATTTGGTGTGCAGTTGCCTGACAGGGAAAATTAGGCAATTGACACTACGAGTGAGCTGGATTTCCACTTAGCTTATGTGTAACTGTTTGATGCGTGGTGGACTGAGAAAGTTAGGAAATTTACCTCGAAAGTTAGTTAATTAACCACCTCTACTGCATAATTGCATGTTTGTGGGAATGTGGTTTGCAGCGGCCTCACAGGGAAAATTAGGTGATTGAGACGAGCAATTAGGTGAATTTGCACTTAGCTTCTGTTTAAGTGGTTGATGTGTGGTGGACTCTGGAAGTTAGGGAATTTACATGAAAAATCAGTAAAGTAACAACTGGCAATTCAAAATTTCATGTTTGTTGGCATCCATCCACATATAATACAGGTCTGCCACCTTTCAAAAACCCTTCTACACAGCAACCGTATGCAATAAATACAGCTTGAAATCTATTATCTGATGATGCAACCCACTTTGCTACCGTTTCTGGATCACTTTCCTTTAGCCTTTCACATATCCAAGGGATTAGCATATAAGACTCCTGCGGACAACCATGAATTTTTTCCAATGCTTTCTCTTTCGCCCTATATGCTTGTTGGTAGTTGAGCCTCAACCCATACTCTCTTTCCAAATCCCGTCTAATGTCATTTGGAGCTTTGTGCATGCAAGAAATCAACTCATCTATTATGACTGCTGAAGCAAGTTTGCACCTCTTTCTCTGAGGGACAACTAAGTTGTCTTGTGCATAATGCAAGTGTTCATAGTTAAATCTTCTCACAACTAGGAATCCATTATTCTCACCTACACCATATGCTGAAATTTCCCAGGGACAACCATCTACACAGCACTTCACAATCATCTTATGCCTATCATTCTTTACGTACCGGTAACCAAACTTGTGTGCAAGGCTATACTTATATAATGCCTCTCTAAAATGTTCAGCACTAACAAAGGTTTGCCCTCTTGACATCAACAAATCTGCCCACTTTGATGAATTCATCACCGCTATTGGGGTTGGCAACGTTTCCATACCTACACTTCCTATCAGTGTTGGCACATCTTGTACGGAAGATATGTTTATGTTGTCTGTGTCTAGATCCAATTCCATTGCAAATACTGACATTCCACAAGGGCCAACCAAATCATCTAACCTGCATAAACAAATACAGTTATTCAGTATTACAGTTCAATTTATCAAAATTGGACATATTCTTTCTTATCCTACACACAATCTTAATAAAACCAGTTGAGAACAACTTACTCTTGTACACTGTCCAGCTGTGACACTTGTGTGAAGTCTTTCTCATTCTCACAAACATAAACATGGCCACTACTATTGTTGTACTCAATTACTTGTCCAACACCAATATCGTCAACAAGATCCAAGAATGTATCCCGGTCAAAGCTAACTGTGTACTTCATTTTATATTCACGAGTCCCTGGCCACACATCATGAGCTACCATGCATTGTAGTTCTTCATATGTCATCCCTTCTCTAATCAATCTTCCAGTAATGATGCCCCCTTCATAAATGAATTTCCCTTATGAGGTCTTTACAAAGTGCCCTCTAACATGAAAGATGCAAAATACTTGTTTCCTACTACTGCTAGCCATTTATCCTCTGCTGCTGCACATCATTCAAGTATGACACAACGTACGTTTACATCAGCAATTTGACAATTGACAACAAGAATTAGTATTTTCACAACATTATATTGCTTTTTCTCGCACACAACCAGAATTACCAAATTTACCATCGTACTATGTATTTTCACCATTCCTCTGCGCGTCTACCTGTCATATAACCCATTCCAGGCCACACACCCATTTCCCTTTCTTTTTCGCCTACCTATGTTCCTTCAGCAGTGCATTATTCTCAATATGCACCCACTTTTGAAAACATCACAAACACCACATCTTTAACAACTTAAAACAGCATCAGCATGAATTTCTTAACCATAAAACCGTAAGATTTGCAACTCACTCCCAACCTACATGCCCATGCACTTAAATACTCATTTCTTCCTCATTCACCCATCACAACCCACCTGTGCTAACCGAATCACACCAACAAAACCAAAATTTTAACAACAAAATCTTACCTCCCACGCCAACCTGACGCTACTTCCAGAGAACACGCAACACTGTAGGGCACACTTGCGACTTCTCTCTCTTGCACCAACTCTAGCTTGGAGTCCGAAAGACGGCGGAGGGACGGACCGCAAAAGTGAAGCTCCGCCACTGCGTTTTCTCAGCTCATGGTTGTCAGCTATCTCCCTTCCGCACCGGCGCGCTGCATGGGAGAGGCAGGAAATAATGCCATCTCCTCCCTTTCCGTCTTTTTACCGTCTTTTACACCCACTGATAATATGTCTCATTTTCGGAGGAAATAAGTCTTCATTAGGGGCAGTGGCATCATTTCGCTTGTGGAATTAATATCATATTGGCCCCTTGGCCCTGCAGTGAGATTTCAGAATGTTTTGGGGGCTCTTTGAAATTATTTATCTTCTGCGGTCCTACAGTGAAATTTTCCCTTATAAAAATGCACAGTTATTAAAAAAATTTAAATGAAATAAAAAAATTTCATAAAGTTTATGAAATTTTATAGATTAAAATTAACGGTTTATTCGCTCAAAAACAAATGTATATAATTTCAACATTGTAAGAGTTCAATTTAAATAGAATAATTTATAAGTACTTGAATCAAAATTAAGATAAATTATAAGATTGGGAGGTTAACTTTTCCTTATTTATAAACAGTATGGCTCTGAAGATGAAGGGGGAGGATGGTAGGACAATAGCCGACAAGCTGGCCTTTGGGAAACACAAACAAACAAAACCGAACATCTTTAATCAAGAAGATTCCCCACGTCATTTTATTCCCTACCACTACCATATCTCTTGCATATTGTTTAATTATTCATCGTGACTCTTCAATCATGCATCACCAAAACAATAAAAAAGAAAAACTTAGTCAAATCATAATAGGAACTGGTATCTCCAATATTGCCACTTGGACTCAGTGATGATCAGCTTTCTCCATCACCTCCAAAAAGCAACCTCTTGAGAATTGAATGTGTATGTCCGTTCCTTCACATAACAGGACAACCCAACGACAAAGTTGTTCGTTCTCTCTATTATTCTCAACTTTTTTTCATCAAAATATCAGAAAAACACCCCCCCCCCCAAAAAAAAACCCAGTTTTTCTCATTGAGCTTCACCGAGCTTTCTGATTTCTTCTCTCTCTCTCTCTCTCTCTCTGATACAATGCAACCCAAAAGCAATTCTTTAGTACTGGTGTTCTTCCTTCTGTTGTTAGAAACATCTCTTCTCAACAACGTAGAATCCAAGTGTCTCCAAGGTTGTCCTTTAGCTTTAGCATCCTACTACGCTTATAAGAACAATCTAGGTAACATAACCAAGTTTCTGAGATCAGATCTTGTGTCAGATTTTGGAGTTGTTTCCAGCTACAACGAAGGAAAAGTATCCAACAATGGAATGTACGTTCAATCCTTAACGAGAATCAACATTCCTTTCCCCTGTGATTGTATCAATAATGGGGATTTTCTGGGTCATGTGTTCGAGTACACAATAGCAGAAGGAGATACTTACGATTCCATTGCGACACAAACATATTCTTCGTTGACCACAGTGGATTTACTGAGAAGATTCAATAGTTATAAGGATCCAAATCAGCTTCCTCTCAATGGGAAGCTTAATGTCACAGTGAATTGTTCTTGTGGGGACAGACAGATTTCTAAGGATTATGGATTGTTTCTTACTTATCCACTTAGATTTGGAGATAGCTTGGAATCCATTGTGGACCAGACTGGTATTGATGCAACGTTGCTTCAGAAATACAATCTTCGTGTGAATTTCAGCCAGGAGAGTGGAGTGGTTTTTATTCCAGGAAGAGGTATGATCCGATATATTTATAATTTATTTTTAAATTTGTGGGTTTGTGAAATTTAATTAGTGATTTTTCCATATGCATAGGTGTAAAAAAAGATTTCATTTTTGGAATTTTTTTGTGTGTTTTACTGTCATAAATCAATAAACTGACAAAACATATAAATAAATTTCCCACTTCTTTTCGAAGACTCGCTTCAGCTTGAAATTATGAATAATGGATTATATAAATGGAACCTTTCGGCAAGATTGGATTGAAAATTAAACTCACGTAATATCGTACTAAATCTATACACGTTTATGGGGTCCTTATTACTACTACTACTAGTACTGAAACCACTAACTTCTTGATTTTCCTCATTTTCCAGATCAGAATGGAAATTACGTGCCCCTGGACCCTAGGTATATCTTGTTTGCCCAACCTTGCGTTTATTCAAAAACACGTTCATCATGTGCATACAAGAGAGAGAGAGAGAGAGAGAGAGAGATATATATATATATATATATATGCCTAGTTCTCTTGTTTATTCTATAATATTATGTATGTTGATTTTCACCTTCGGTTTGGTCTCCATTTTTGCAGGTCAAGAGGTTTGGCTTCTAACTTGAAAGAGATGCTTCGGATTATCTGATATAATTTTCTCGAGTTTGGTTATGTATCCCACAAAGATATATATAAGAAAGCAAAAAGAAAGTAAGTAATGCTTGTTTGAGACGTTGTATTTATATATATATATATATTTGGTTTCTATATGAGCAGGTCTAAGTGAGGTTGCCATTGCTGGAATTTGTGTTGGAGCAACATTTGTGTTTCTATTATTATCAGCTTATGTATTTGTTAAACACTTCCGAAGAAAGACCGCCAAAGTTGCATTGATCACAGAAAATTCTACAGATCTTTCATCAAATCAAGACGGTATGATCATTACATCTACATAATTTCCTCTCTTTAACCTTAATTAAGTTCTCTGAACATTCATGCAGACTCTCGTATTATGACTTAATGCTCACTCTATTTCAATACTACCTTCGATCCTAAATATAAGAACTAGTGAACTAATTTGAAAAGACTAAGAAAATAATTTAAGTTAGTTATTTATAATAAATATATATTGTCTTTTCTAAAATATCCTTGCCAATCAAGTTTATTGGATAGAACTACTATTATTAGAAAGACTATCTTGGGAAAACATGAATAAATATAAGAGACAAAGTAGGTTGGAGTTTTATATTTAAGACCAAAATAAAAATGAAACAAAGTCTTATACTAAAAACCAGAGGTAGTAGTAATAACATATATACATTTGGATTAATTCCTCTGTCCTCGATGTTGCAATCCATCCAGTCTTAGATATAAGAGTTACATAATTAATTAAATTATTTATTATTGTCCCATTGATTGAAACCCCAATTTATTTCATATATGCAATCAAAAGGGACAGTTTGAGGAAAAAAATTATAAATTTAGGAGATAAAGTGGATTGAGATCTTATATTTAAAAGCAAAGTGAATATCGTACGTCATACATATTTAGGACCGAAATTAGTTGGTTTCACTCATCTTTGTTGTTCTCAATTACGAAACTTCAGGATCTAGTGGATCTGCTAGTGCCACTGGTCTTAGAGGCATCATGGTTGGGAAGTCCATGGAGTTCTCATATCAAGAAATAGCCAAAGCTACCAATAACTTCAGCTCTGATAACAAGATTGGTCAAGGAGGTTTCGGAGCAGTATATTATGCCGAGCTGAGAGGCGAGGTTCGAATTAATTAGCTTCTCAAATCTTCTGGAATATAATTAATCAATTATGAAGAGTTCATATGCAAGATATTTTAGGATTTACATAAACTTTTGGGTTTAATATATAATGATTTGCCTGAAATATAAGATCTTTTATGCAGAAAACTGCAATCAAGAAGATGGATATAGAAGCATCACAAGAGTTTCTTGCTGAGTTGAAGGTTTTAACGCATGTTCATCATTTGAATCTGGTATATGTCTCATCTTTAATTTCCAACAGCCTCAAGCTAGCATTTCTTGTTATTTCTGGCGCATTGCTCCTTATTGTTGAGTATAACAAGGAAGAATATGCATTTTCAGGATCTATATATGATTCTTATGTGTTTTTCTTTCACATGAAATTATCCATTGCTGGTTTTTGAATTATACCTGAGTATTTACCTATGTCTAACTTTCTGGATGATCAAAATATATATAGGTGCGGTTGATCGGATATTGCGTGGAGGGATCGCTTTTCCTTGTTTATGAATACATTAACAATGGAAACTTAAGCCAGCATTTACGTTCCTCAGGTGACATATCATCAGCTCGCAGTACTGACCTTATTATTAACTCAAGAATTAAGTTCATGAATAGTGCCTTTTGTTTAAACATACTTATTTCTTTTTACAATAATGAATATGTTTATTTTACTATGATATATACTCCTTCCCGTTCTAAATACAGGAGCTAGCATATAATTAATTAGTTGAGATTAAGAAAGTTAGTTTAGTTATTTTGGAAGAAAAAAAAGAGATGTGTTGGTTTTTCCAAAATAACTTCCCTAATTATTTGTATCGGAACTATCCCCTTAATAGAATCCTCCTACAATTAATATGGATAATTTGGAAGAAAAAAATATAATTTTGAAAACAAAATAGCATGATATTTACTTAAAGTCAAAATAAACCACCTAATTATTATTATATTTAGTATCGGACAGCGTCCTTTGTTATATCCATATATAAAGACATCATATATAATCAACGACAAAGCCAGCTGGCTTTCCTTGTCCGATGTTGAAGGAATAAGCCACATTGTTACAACTAATGAATAGTATGATTTGCCATAGATTTTTATATTTTATAATGATATAATTGATGAATTGATAATATGACAAACATGATTGATTTCAGAGTTAGATGCATTGCCATGGTGTACAAGGGTGCAAATAGCTCTGGATTCAGCAAGAGGTCTTGAATATATTCATGAACACACAGTGCCTGTATATATTCATCGTGACGTTAAGTCTTTGAACATATTAATTGACGAAAGCTTCCATGCTAAGGTTAATTTCTGTTCTTGTAGTCAATTATTATTGTTTTTTTTTTGTCAAACAAAATTTAATTTGTTTAGATCTTGTAAGATAATCTATGGAAGTTTTTTCACCTTTAGGTGGCAGATTTTGGGTTAAGCAAACTCATTGAAGTTGGAAATGCCTCGCTTAACACACGTCTTGTGGGAACATTTGGATATATGTCTCCAGAGTAAGATTGTACTTTTTTATTTGATTTTTTTTTTTGGTATTGGTATCTGCTCAATGTAGAGTTTTTAATATTTCTTTCGTGTATTATTTTTTTAATATCCATTCAATTATATTGGGCTTTGATCTAAGGTTCAAGATTTGAGGATAAAGAGTGGCGGAAAAAAAAAAAACAAAGAATAGAATTATAAGGATAGTTTCGAGTGAGAGATTGGTCCAACGCTATTAGTTTTACCTAAAATGTGAAGTATTTGAAGTTTTTTAATTAAAAATGTATTGTAAACAATTTCATAGCCAAGTAATCATATATTTAGTATTGGAGGAAGTATCAATTTGGAATATTTACAACAAAAAAAAGCATAAAGAGCTGTCAGTTCAGGCAAGGATTCTCTAATACCCCACTCTCTTATGTCCCACTTCCCAATTTTTCCCCTTTTTTTTATATTGATCATTAGATTCTACAAAAAAATTGGTGACATTTTAATATTTTACTGGCACAAAATGGGGGGAATTTTCGTGATTTTTTTTCAAGAA